TGTTCCTGTAGCCTGTAATGAGTCTGGGTTCTGGAGGTACTGGGAACCATTCTGCTAACCCCTTCAGCTCAGGTTTGGTGGTTACTGAGGATGGCCAACTTTCAAACCCTCCCGCAGAACTTCAGTCATATTCAGATCTGGGGCATGGATTTCCAGCTGTGTTTGAGTTGTTATCCAGTCTCAGTGTGACAGGCTGAACATCAGGAGAAGCAGCTATCTGTGGCCTGGTTCCAGTAGCTTATGGATGCTATTAAGAATAAAATACAACAGACAATATATATGAAGAGTGGATATGGTACAATAGAGCATAATAAAGGTTGTAATGTCCTGGAATGTGTTTCCTTTAGATAGAAAACTAAATATCTGAGGAAAGTTACTTAACTTGGATTATAGCAGAGATGTTCTGACCTTATAAAAAAGTAGAAAATGACACAGACTACACAGTGTGCAGGGGCTGGCTGGCATTGCCCATAATGTCCATAATGTCCATCAGTTTAGGGTCCTGGTCCCAGCCCCCGTCCCCAGAGAGTCCAGTTCCTGGCCAATCACAGAGCGGGCTCATTTCCCTGCTCCTGACTGAGCTGGGTCTGCTCTGGACTCTGCTGGGCCTCACTAAAGTCTCTTTGATGTGCTGAAACAGAGACCTCAGAGGAGAGGATGCTGACAGAGAGGGAAGGAAACGAGAAGGCCTGAATACAAAGTGATGGAAAAGGAGACTCCTGATGACTGCCAAAATACTGAGGAGACCAGGTAAGAATGGCGAGGTTTCTTTTTCAGCATTTAGACGCTCTTATCCAAAGCGACTTACAAAGTAGACACAATGTTCCAGCTCTCATCAATATGACAATAATTTCTCTGGAGGAAATTCCCCAGTCAGAGTCAGTGGTTTGGTCGGTTTTGTGGCTTTTGAAGCTGTTTTTTATGCTTTAAAGCTCTTTTGTGGGTTTTTAAGCTATTTTTAGGCCTTTAAAGCTCTTTTGTTTTTTTCAAAGTGTTTTGGGGGGCTTTTAAAACAGTTTTAGTGGGTTTTAAAGCTGTTTTTTGGGGCTTTTAAAGCTGTTTAGGTTTTTTTTTAACAGTTTTTTATGGCTTTAAAGCTATTATGGGGGTTTTAAATCCATTTTTGGGGCTTTAAGAGGGGTTCTGGAGGGATTTCTGGGGACATACGGGGAGCTGCTGCTTCGTAGGCTGCGTGATCACGCGTGGATTCGACTTCCTGTCGCGTTTTAAAGAATCGGAACTGAAAGTTTCCGGATTACCAGCTGCCTTTGAATGCAGCGCCAACTCCGTCCCCTTGGCAACGGGAGGAGCCCGGAGCCGGCAGACGTGGCAGCGCGTGACGTCATCACCACTCGCCGGCGGTCGGCTCTTCACGGGTTAGCGGAGCAGGTCCAGCTAGAAGGTGAGCACGGAGCCTCCGTTTCCAAACACCGGCGGGTTTCAGGCTTCTGGGGGGGGGTACGCAGACCCGGTGGGGGGGTCTCCCTTTCACCCCCAGATTTGTAGGGATCCAGCTTCATGTGAGAGTTGGACGTGCGTCCTTTGAGCTGCAAACTGCAGCTCCCGGCTAACAGCCGGCTAACAACAACAACCAGGCTAACGGCTCTCCGGTGGCTGTATCCGGAAAAAAGGGGCTCAAACCGGGTTCCCTTACCGCGGTCCTGTTCAGGTACACCGGCTGAGGGCGGTGGGGCTGTGCTGTCCGCTGGTCCTGAACACACCGGGGGCAGGAGGGGTCCCTGGTGCGTTTAGGGACCGGTGCCCCGGACACCTGCTCCTGCCCGTGTTCGGTGTAATGAGGACGGGAGAGAAGTTTTCCGTGTCCCCGGTGCTCCGCTTTGGTTGTTCTGCTCCGCGAACCGCTGAAAACTAGACCCGGTTAATGGTCTAGACCCGGTTAAGGGTGTAGTTTTCTCCCCCCTAGCCTCCTAACCCGCCAGCAGGGGGCGCTGTCCTCTGGGGGTCCGGACAGGTGGAACTCATCCCTTTCTGTTCACACACCTGCAGACACACTTTGAGAGCTGAGAAGATGATGGAAGAAAGTGGGATAGAGACGACCCCCCCCCCCAA